GACAGGAGAGGTGCTCCCTTACCTAGCCCAGTGCCACATCAGCACTGCCATCCCCTCCCTCGCTGTCACGCACCCTTGCCGGAAAAAAAACAAACCACCCTCCTCTTGCCCGCCGCAAGACAAGCACCCTTTTGTTCGGGGAGAAAGCCCCCTTCAGCTGCACACACACAACCCCCTGCTGCATAACTGCAGGAAACCTCCCTCCTTCCACTGACGTGGCGTTAAAATTTAATGCGGTTAACAAATCGGTGTTAAAAAAAAAAAAAAAAAAAATCACCCTTCTGACCGTGAACTCTTTGCGCAGCCTGGCAAAGCGTATCCATACAATGCTCTGGGCCGCAAGGACCCTCGCCCTGAGAAATGATGTAGCCCCGAGGTTGATTTTCTCTGCTAGAGGGGGGTCCCACTGCTGTGGAAGGACCATTTGCCAGCACTGCTATGGCCAGCAGCGGTGTGAGTCCACGGCAAAGCTCTGGACCCTGGGATCCACTCAGGGTCGTGGGCAGGAGCTAGTGCCAGGTCCATGCTCGCACATCTCTGCCCTCGCACGACGGCTGTGCCAGCAAGGCTGCAGGGATGCCCCCGAGTCCGGCAGCTTTCACCCCTGCAGGCAGGCGGGGACCGTTCCTGCAGGCAGGCGGGTACCGTTCCCCTTGGTCCAGGGATGCTGAGCCTGGTCTGACCCTCTGCCTCCTGGAGTGACCCTGAGCACATCTCAGAGCAGAAAAGACAGATCCTCTGGAGTTTTAGCCATTAAAAAACATGTCTCCCCATCTTTCTGTCCCAAAACAACATTGCTCTTACCTGGAGGCTCTCAGCAGACAAGCTGGGGTGAATATTTGGGCTTTGTCTTTCCTGCACGTGGGGAGGAGGGAGTGGGAAATGCCTCTTCCTCCACCCAGCCGAGCATCCAGAAGAGATTTGGCTACACGTTACAGCTTCAGGGAATTTGCACTCATTTCAGGATTCACTAAAACCTTAATCTACAGCGTAATCTCTGAGCATCACATCTGTGCAAAGGAATGACAAAATGATGGGGGAGGCTGCTAACAGACGTTTTGTAAAAGCAAAGGCTGCTGTGGGATGCTGGCTGCTTTTGGCCTGATGGTTTGCTTGGGTTTTCGGAGGTGTTTGAAGAGACCCACTGAAATGCAAGGAGCTGTGCAGTGCAAGGGAGAGCTCTCTCTCCGTTCCTGCCACTGCCTCCCAGCCGTGGAAAGCAAGGACCTTGCCAGCAGCATCAGGCACCCCCTTGATGTGCTCCATGCAGCGAAGGAGCAGCCGTGTTGCCCTTGGCTGAGGCTCTGCAGGTTTCCAGGGGGCTGTGGGAGGGAGCTGGACCAGCCCCTCCAGCCAGGAAACACAATCCTGTGGATTTGCATCCTGAACGCCCACAAGGACCCTCCAAGATGGGCAGACTTGGGAGCCTTTCCCACGTGGGAACACTAAGACCCTTCTCCTCCCCCCAAAAACCCATTCACATCCAACACAGGGCAACTTGTTTCCTCTGAAGTTCAAACTACACCAGCGAGGGACAGACAGACAGGACATGCATAGACGAGGGCATCATGAGGTCAGAGCCAAGACATCAAATGCCTTGAACCCCTTGGGCTCATGGGGGGCAGAACCAGCCCAATTTTCCAGTTCCTTCCCTTGTCAAGAAATGAGGGTTAGGGTAAGTCAAAGCCTGCTGTATGTCCTGCAGGGAAGGATGCTGCTGCTACCTGAAAAACAGCATCCCAAAGCCAGCATCCCAAAACCAGCACGTCCTGGTGCCCAGACTCGCTGGAGCTGCACAGAGAGGCACAGGGCACAGGGCAGCACCAGCTGCTGAGTTACCCTGGCCCCACAAGGAATAAATATTTCCAAATCCCTCATGGAGATGCTAAGAAATCCCCTCTCAGGTGGGAAGGGAGGACCAGCTCCTCCAGCAGCTCTTAGCCCAGGAATGACCAATACTGCCTGAAGCCCTCTCAGCTGACACAAAATGGATTGGACCTGGGGTGCCCATCCTCACCACAAACAAAGCATCTCCCCAAAAAAAACCCCAGCACCCTAAAGAAGCTACTAAGGCCCAAGGCAGGGCAGGCCCACCACGACACTGCTCTCCCCCACTATGAGAGCTGAATCCCCCAACAAACTGATGGCGAGGTTTCCTTTGCCATCGGTAAGCGATGTCTCACATCCTCTCCGACCATAATGGGCTAAAAAACACAGTTCCCCTGTGGATTCAGCCCGTTTCCTTCTATTCTTTAACAGGAAGCACTGCGAGAGTCAGCCCAGGCAGGCAAATCGCTCCTCACCCTCTCGTCCCTCCCGGGATGGACAGAGCCTTAGCCAGGCTGCAGAGCCACAAGCCACCGAGAAGATGCTGGCTCCGTCCGTCCATCCGCTCCTCTGGCTGTTTGGCTGCGTGCTGTTCCGAGGTGAGATGCTCCACTCGTGTCCCGGGGAGGGTGAAACGGTGCTGGATGGGTGGATTTGGGGAGCCCGGCTTCATGGGGAGCACCAAAGGGAATCGGTCAGAGGCTTGAACGCGTAGTAGCTGTCGTGGGAAAGCTCAGCCTTTAAATTCAGGGGTGGCAGGAGTCAGGTTGCTGGGAAAAATGTGGCTGTACCAGGTTTACACGGTTTATTTGGTGGTGCTGGAATAAAAGAATTTGTTTTCTCGTTAACAAAAGGAGTGTTTCTGCTGAGGTTTGTGATGCTGAGGCGTTTTGTAGCAAATGACTTTTGTCAAGTAAGAGTAAAGGTAGAACATTTAAATGTACAGGATATTATTTTCCTCAAATATTTTTTCCTTGACTGATTTTAATTTTTCCTCTTGTCAACATAAATACAAAGACCACGTGCAAGATTCATGCAGAACATGCCTTGTCCTCATTGTAATAATTCTGCTCCTTTGTGATAATTCTGCTTTAACTTCTCTTTCCCACGTGAGTCGCGGTGTGGGATGAAGGAACGGGTTTCCTGCTCTGAAGGGTGACAGGTTGTTTTTTCCTGCATCGTCAGGCATCTCTTGCATTGCTGACAGCTGTAATATAGCTAGGAGCTGAAACGCACTGAAAGGAATATAGACTGCAACATCATCGCTGATTCTAATAGACAACCACCTAAAAATAACGTGTCTCAAAAGTTTTTATCATTAAACCATAAAAGTTGCCTATGGGTTACCGCTATTGTGCTGGTAATAATGGGATTTTTAAAAGGCAGAGAATATAGAAACCAATTCAGTTAGCAGCTGTGTAATTCTGAGAAGTAAGAGCACATGGATTGGAAAATTTCTCTCCTCATTAGAGTGCAATAGTGCTGGCTTCAGCAGAGGGGTGAATTGTGCCTGGTATCAGACAAAGGGCTTTGAGGCCCCGCAGCCATACTGTGACACTCCAAAATGCCTGCCCAGAATGCTATTTTTCTCTTAAAAACTACTTGGTATGGTTTGCACGGGACAAGAATGCCACAGAGGTTGTCAGGCACCTTCTCTGGCTTGGCTGCATCATGCCAAGATCCAGCCCCCTGCCCGGTGCGGGACCACCGGCTCCACTGCCCCCAGAGATTCACCTCCCCGGCAGACTCGGCTGCTGCAGCATCAGGTGGAAGGGCTGCGACTCTCCATCCTTCAGTCCTGAGAGCATCGTCTTTGTCCTCTGCTTAAAATCATGGGGCAGGGACCATTCTCATTAGATGTGTGTCTAGCAGCTAGCGCCAGACCCCAGCAGGGCCAATACCTACAGACAGAGATAACGGCATTGCTGATGCTCGCTGCACATCAGCTGATGCTGCAGTTGCACCTCTCTGGCTTCGAACAAAACAACCAGCCTTCCCCACTGGCATGTATGCTGTCTCACTTTTCTGCATTGATCTGACAGTTCTAAAATGTTTTTTTTTTAATTTTATTTTTAATTTTATAGCAAAGTCACTAAGGTGGTGTAGTACGTGGAGGGGGAAGCTTCTGCGCAAGGCAAAGCAGGAGGCTTAGAGCAAGGGGCAGAGACAGGGTCAGTGATGCTGCTGGCTCGCCGACACACAGGCAGCTGGAGAAGGGAATTAGAGGCTCTTCAACGAGACAGAAGAGCTCAGAGGTCTCCCTGCACCTGAGGAGATGGAGGTAACCTTGCAGGACAGACAGAGTTTGCTTTGGCTGGAAACTAATACCTGCCCATTTCCACACAGGCCTTTTTTTTTTCTCTCTTCACTTTGTGCAAGTTCATTAATTTATTAATGAATGTATTATTTCTTAATTTAAACTTCTAAGCTCTCACAGTTATTTCTAAAGGGAGGTTCAAATACTGTTATTTTGAAATTGCTGAAGTGGGAAGGTTTGGAACATTTCCAACCTGTTTTTCCTCCCCCAGAAACACTTAACAGAAAATTTGTCCAAACAAACCTCTTCCTATGAACCGTTTCCATTACAATGGGCAGGCATTTTCCAGACAAAAGATTTCCACTGAAAAATTCTTCCTCAAAGCTGATGAAAGCCCAGCAGGATTTTCCCACTGTCACTTCATCCACCGCTCTCCTTATCTGCGCCACAGCCGATGGATGGATAATGCCACGAGAAGCATAGTACATTGAAAATATATGTCGATATATATTTTTAATATTATCAAAAACATGGGGTGCAGCTAGAGGACAGACATTGAGCTACCAGGAGACCTTCTAGACATGGTACTTGTATCCTTAAACCAGGGCATCCAGTGCATTCTGGGACAAAAAGGAGAGGCCAGGGCAACCCTGACCTAGTGAAGAAGGAAGAGAAAGCCGGAGGTGGTTAGGAGAAATGTTTGTTCACAAACCAAACTGCTCCCTTCTAGTAACATGAAACCCTGCAGATGACTCTGCAAATCTGACCAAAGTGGCCGGAGATGGTTTCCAGGAATTATATCCTATTTACAATAGGTGAGTCAACAGCAGCTGTCCTTGGAGGGGACAGTGCTGGTAACCCAATACTGGGAATGCTCCTGCTGGGAAAGCCAAGGTGCGGGCTTAAGCCAGAGGCTGGAAAAGGAAGACCTGAGTCTTGCAAAAGCCACCACTGCCAAGCCTTGCCTAGAAGGTCTGATTACTCCACTGCCCAGACGAGCCCACTCAGCATGACCCAACCACCACAAAAAGGAGGAAATTCCCCAATTCGGTCTCTTTTGTAGACTAATGGGCTGGTGGGTGCTGGTTTTACCTTTCAGCTGAATCATCCCCACACAACAGAAAGGAGCAAAGTCCCCTCTAGTATGTGGGGGATGTTTGAAGATATAAAAGTTTCAAGGAAACTTTGCCCCTAATGCTGGTAGCTGGTGAAACTTCCTACAAACCTGGTGAAACATCAGGGATGTGGTTAACCAGCACCGCCTTACTAGCAGTTGGATTTCAACAGGTTAGGGAGAATCTTCTTCCCTCGTGCTAGTGAGAAACCACTGGCTTGGGATTCAGTTCCCTGAGATCAAGGTTGCTGATCCAGGACACAGGGACAGGACAGGGACATCATAGTACAGAAGCAAAGCTAATGGCTTGGGCTTGCCACTCCACGTGAAGAGGAGGCAAAGGGAGCTCACGTGGAGCTGTTTGTTGCAGCAATGTGGAAGAGGGGGCCATGGAGGTGTGGAGCATGTGCATCCACCCTCTGGAGCAAGCTGGGCAAACCCTTCTGGCACTGGAGATAGCCACTGGGGACAGCCATCACCGGTTCCAGGCACAGGGGGGGACCCAAGGTGGGTCTCCCCCACCTTTCCCACCACTATCAGGCACAACCACAGACCCTGCATGCTCCCGAGGGCAGCACAGCCCTGGGTGAGCAGCTCCAGACATACGATCCAATAAGGTCCTCTCATGGCTCTGGAGTTGCTAAAAATCTTGGAATCACACTGAAATTAGTGGGATTAGAAATGAGGGAGAAGCATGTCACAGCTGATGATGCACCAGATGGGGACACAGGACCACTGGGCTTCATGCCTGCCACTAACCACAGCCATGTAACGCTCCTGTGCCTTGTCTTCCCCAGATACGAAACAGGGATAATAAAATTACTTCTCCCATAAAATGTTTTGAAATCTAGGAATAAAACCTAGGTGATATCACCAGAGTCACTCACCTAAAATCTGGACTCAGCTGAAGCTTGTCAGGCCAAGGTGCTTTACCTGCTCTTTAGCTGCCTCTTCTGCAAGACTCAGCACTTCAGGCAGCACCTGCACGGTGCCTCCCCAGCCCCAACGTGCTGAAATGACTGCATCCAGACAGCAATGTCCTTCAGCTGCTCCCCTGGGGTTCAAGCTGGGAGACTTATGACAAGTGGAAAGAACAGGAATTATGAGAAACACCTGTGCCACCAGCCCCTGACACACCTGAATCACAAGGTGGGAGCTGAACTGAACCCAGCAGATCACATTCCTGCACCATGGTTCACGACCACCACATAGCCTGGCTGCTACCAGCAACGCCCAAATAAACCTGGGGAATCTTGGAATTACTGGAGCTAATAATAAACTTGGGAAGAAACTTGGAAACGGTAGTAAAGAGCCTCCACGAACTTGGGGGAAGCAAGACGATTCTGGTAGGCACCCACCACGTTGGCTGCAGGGGATGGTAACGCGTGTACTGTCACAGGGCTCTGCGGATGCCTGTCCAGAGGTGTAGACTACAAGCAAATACAGCAGCTGATCTACAGCAGCTGGAGCACACAACATCTGGAACAAGATCAGACAAATTGATGAGGACCGCCTGCGAGGTGGCCTGTAGAAGGGCAGGACCTTGGCTGGTAGCTTTACCAAGGGTGTGATACTTGCACAGCTGAACTAGCCTGCAGCTCGGGATGCTTCCTCTGTGCCTCAGTTTCCGCATCTGCAGAAAACAAAGCAGAGCTAACACTATCCATCTCCTCTGTGAACCGCTTTGAGATCTGCTGATGAATAATATTATTTAAAAAAAAAAAAAAAAAAAAAAAAAACCAACCAAACAAAAAAACCCCACAACCTGTACATAGGCAAAAAGCACATGTTGGGCTCCAGCTCCCACTGAGCCTGGACAGGTGGTCCCCCCACCTTTCATCTGACTGGGCATGGAGTGATTTCCTCCTCCAAACCCCCAGACCCAGGGCCAAACCCCAGGAGCAGCATAGCCAGGAGAAAGGCAGGACCCACAGCCCAGCACTACAGAGATGAGGAGCAAACACAGAGCTCTAAAACAAGCAGGTCACAGAGGAAACTGGAACCAGTAAGCAGCTGGGAGGGTGATGGTGCAGCAGCCTGATGGAGCAGGTGTTTACTCCCCAAACACCACGGAGCGGTGGTGGTGCAGCCAGGAGAAAAAAGCCGTGCCGCTTCGCTCTTCTCGGAGCAACCTCTTTTCATGGAAAAAACAAGACCTCAGCACGCACAGTGATGCAGCAGAGCCCGCTCCATGCGTGCAGTTTCCCCACATTGTTTGTCTCCTGGCT